GGGCTGACTCTAGTGCAATTTTCTGGGGCCCTGAACCTGCATTGGGAATTTCTCCCACCTCTTTTAGGGTATCTATATTCAAGCTCTATGGCAAAATTGCACATGAGCAATGGCGCGTCGCTGGCGGTCAGAGACAAGCTAAGGAGATGAATCGTGACTGTCCTAATGTACGTCAAAAAGAGCTTTTAAAGCTTAATAGAAACAATTTGAGAAAGATCATTGGTCTTCTTACAGGATACTGCATCCTCAGGAGATACCTATACATACTGGGAATTGAATCTAATTCTCTTTGTCGAGGTTGTCATCTTGAAGAAGGGACACCACAACATATACTTTGTGATTGTGAGGTCTATTCTGCTCAAAGATCTGAGCATTTGGGGCAGAATTACATTAAAACCTGGGAACTGCAGGATGTTCCTGTAAGGTGTTTGCTGAATTTTATTTCAGCTACAGGGGTTTTTTGCTAATCATGATTTAGGGTTTGGGTGAGGTACAATAGACCTCTGGTCGATGTGCCCTGCTCCTTGGTGCTGCCCAACCTCTAAGTCTAAGTCCCAATGCATAAGAAATCAAAAATTTCATATTGAAAATTGAAGAAGCATAATCTTTTAAAGCCGCACACAATAATCTAAGACCTTCAACGACTTTTCTTAAAATGGAAGCAGAAGAGTTATGGTATTTTAGGTAAGGAGACTTATTTAATAGATTTATTTAATAAAGCTTTGTTCTTCACACTTAGAAAAAAATAACCCAAACAAAAATTGAAAACCAAAGCTGAAATGATGAGGATTTCACGTGAAAAGGATAAGTTTTTAATCCGATACAATTTCACATATTGGTAAAGCTCTAGCTTAAATTTTTTAAAACTTATTTTTTGAAGTTGAAGACTCACGCAACAGTCCATTGTGGACCTGTGAGATCAAGAATTCCCAATTTCGTGACTGACGGTATGATGGTCGAAATGCAAACAGGATTGCGCTTTAGCTGCCATTAAATCTGAGAAAACTCTTGTGCTCAAGGATATGTAGCAAGCAGTTACTGCAAACACAATCACAAAATAGTAGGCTTTTTCTAAAGAAGTTTAGGCAGGTAACGTTTTACTTACTATCTCATTATTCACAACTAACATAAGCAAGGGTCTGTCCAGACATTTTGTGAAAGGTCCGTTTTTCGTGAAATTGTGAAAAAATTACTCATATTCTTTCAACCAGGGTCCACTTTTATGAATTTGTGCAAATAGGGTCCGTTATTGCAACAAAAAAAAAACTTTTCAAGGAGTTTTTAAATTGTAAAGACATACAAGATTATGCTCAACACTGTAAAATTATAATTAAAAAATTTAAATTTTAAAAAATAAACAATTGCTGTTTCTAAATTAGAGATGCAACATACAAATATTTGGTATTTAGCCAATATTGCTGAACGTAGAATATTAATAAATACGAATATAATATTAATAATACGAATAGAATATTAATAAATATTAATAAATACGCAGAATATTAATAAATACGCAGAATACGAATAATGGAAGAATCGTCTGCCGAAGACGAAACTTAATTCGTTTACATCAATCTTTCTTGTTTTCTGCCCTGGAAAGGGTTTATTCGATTAACAAAATAATAATGAAGATAAAAAAATTTGTGAAGGATCCGATTAAAAGAAAAATCATTTTGTGAAGGGTCCGTTTTTAAGTTAAAATATTTTGTGAAGGGTCCGTTTTTATGAAAAGATATTTTGTGAAGGGTCCGTTAACGGACCCAAATTTCTTCTAAACAGACCCCTGATAAGTGTACTTAAATTCAATTTATTGATTATTATTTCAGTAAAATATATAGTTCAAATTAACTGAGATATTACCTATAAGGCAGCAGATGCAAAAGAGCAAAATTATATTATAACAGTCAATCTGACAAAAACAACAGCTAATAGCTAAAATGTTAGTAGATATAGTGATGCATTTCCCCCACCCTTTTACGTTGAAACCAGACCAAAATTACTATAGATAATACAGTCATGTTCCAAAACATTCCACCAGTGCTTTAAATTAAACCAAAAATCCATTTTTCAAAAATGTTCAATCTTTAATTGTGCTCAATTTGTTCAAAATACATTTGATTGAAAAAGTTAGGAAATTGATTATTATAATTCAAAGTAGTTAAAAAGCATTGTTCATCATACTTCTTAAGTTCTGTCTCTTTACTCTAACAGGTTTCGAAAATGCAAAACTGCTGTTCCATATTGTTCCTAATATTTAATCATACGACAGTAATTAATTAATAACATTATGTCTTCTTCATATTATCTAAACTTTTTGGAAAAATCTTAGTAAAAGCTGGCTTTTTTTCAATGGTTTAAACAAAAAACTGTTTTTTTTTTTTTTTTTTTTTTAAGTCTTGCATAAATCCGCTAACACTGACGTCAAGCCCCACAGCAAATCATAACTCAGTTATGAATATGTTGAATTTTTTTTTTTAAAGTTTGCTTAGATGTAATTTTGCCCAAGTCAGAAAACAGTAACTTAAATATTAAAAAAAAAATATTTTGGAATAATGTGTGATTTGATAGCATAGCCGTCAAGGCACAGAACGTGGTCTGCTTGAAGCCTTATTAATGGCTACTGGCTTGTCTGGAATACAAAGGATCCTGGTATATTCTTAATCCTGATTTATTCTTCACTATTTTTAGACAGTTTTTTCATACGAAAAATTGTAGCTCTATTATTTCCAGTCATTCCCCCCCCCCCATTTTCGGATGTTGTGAGTACCTACGCCAAGTCAATGGAGGTAACCTCTAAGAACTACCAACTTCTAGCAATCACCATTTTACTGTGCCAGAGAGATTTCAATGTACAGACTTTGCTTTCTAAAAATATTTTTAAAAAATTATTCATAGAATTAACTATGCATAGAAAAAATTAGAATACACTAAATATCCCCTTTTTTAAAACATTTCTATTACTGACTGTACCTGCTTCTATCTACTGTTTTGTAAAAAAATTACTGTTTAAAAATAAACTTTAGAATATTGAACCCATAATTTGACAAAAAACTATAATTCAGAATACCAGTTGAAAGTAAAAATATCTCATCTCATTACTCAGTTATTCACTGCTTTTCTTATGACAGGTGGACTAAAAGGTACATTTTCTGATGCTAGATTAGTTTGGTTTCCGTTATATTTAAGTACTATTTCAATAGAAAGTACTAATAGAGAGCTTTCTGATATTTTAAATTTTTAATATTTAAGATATTGTCACGACACTTGAGATTGAGTTTATATTTTAAAAAGAACCAAAAATGTGTTTTTTTTTACTTATTATAGGGTAAAAATTTTGTTTAATAGAAAAGAAATTTTTGAGGATACAGTGAACATATAATGAAATGATTTATTTTCAGAATGTGAATGTATATTGCAGTATATTGAATCTATATTGCAGTATATTGAATGTATATTGTTCATGTTCATTCATATATTAATTAGAGAATAAAATTTAATAAGCTTTTCTATGTGTTCATTAAAATATTTAAATTATATTCTTGGAATTAACAACAAATGCTCAAAACAAAGAAAACAAATATTTAAAAATTTAGAATATTTTTTACTTTACTTTAAAGTGAAAAGCATAGTAAATATTGATAATTTTTAGCAGATTTTTAGCAGAAGACTTTTAAAGAACTCATATATTGAAAATTAGGAATAAATGTATCACATTCTACAAAAGATCCGTGCATTTCATTTCATGAATATACACAATGCTTCAAGAAATTCTACTCATGAACTTTAAAGCTAATAATGTGCTTATTTATAAATAAAAACTATTTAAATAACACAAGATACCTCACATTTTACAAAAAATCCTTTACAAAAAACATTTTCAAAAAATCCTTCATAATGCGATTCTTTATACTTTTAGAAGGCAGAAATATAACTGAAATAGTTATTCTCATAACCATTTCTTTTACTAACCTCTTTGGAAGTGATCAAGCAATATTTTTTATACTAGCAATCAGGGTTGGGTTTTTGCCATCAAAAACTGGTTTTTGACATGACAGTGGTAAAAACCGTCAAAAACCTACTGTTTTCTTTCATTTATGGCATATAGCGGACAATATACTATTTTCACATAATTGCCTTTATAAATGAATGTTGCATTGATTGCTATTGATTTTGCAACTATATACATGTATTCTTATAGAAGGATATACATTCATATAGAAATATTGTTATATACTTATTGAAAATAGTGATACTTTTATCATTATAGCTTGATTTGCAAAGAATTCAAAATTTTGCACTTCTTAATTGTTAGAAATAAACAAACAAACAAACAAACAAGCAAAAAAGCTTGGAACTATTAATAAATTCAAGAACTAAAAAGAAGAATTTAAAATTTGGCATTTCTTAAATATTAAAAATAAGCTAAACAAAACTTTCAAAACTTGTAACTACTAACAAACTCTAAGTCAAGAATGGCTTGACATTCTTCAGTAATGTAATATGCCAAAGAAAATGATGCTTGGAAATGTTGAAAATTTTGTTTAGTATCCTAATATATTACTTCAAATAATATATTTTGATATAATCATGTTGGGAAAATGCAAGAATCTGTTATATTAATCTATAAGAATCTGTTATATAATATCTTAAATATCTTTTACCAACTTTTTTTCTAATTTTATTGCCCAAAAATGAATTAATTTTAAATTATAAATAGTTAAACTCAAATAAAAATACAGTTTTACCAAAACTATGGGTTTTTGACATGACGGTAAAAACCATGGTATAAACCAGTAAAAACCGTCAGGTGTCAAAAACCTGCCAACCCTGCTAGCAATATATCAAGCAATATGTTTATATACTAAATATCAAGCAATATATTTATACTCATTTTCTTCACAAAGAAAAATAAAAGAATATGCTCAGAAAAATAAAAAATATCAAAATACATTATGAAAAAAAATTAATCTGTAGAAATAATTTGATAATTTAAGTCTTACATTGTTAGTGAACCTTTTTAATCCAGAATAGAAACTTGGGACTCAGTTTCTAGGCTGCATGCTCATACATATTCTTCTAAAACATAAAATTACATTACATTTTTAACATGACCAAAAAAAAATAATAATAATGACAATAAGACAAAATTAATAGATAATTATATATTAGGAAATCATTACCCAATATATAATTAATTTTTGCACCACTATGCCCAGTCACATCCAAGTGCTGTACGAGTTAATTTTTACTTCTAGGTCACCCCTGTCCCGTAACAGTCACAACTGTCTCTTAATCATACAAAAATAGCAACCACAGAAAAATTATGAATTAATGAAATTAAAATATAGAAGAGTAAAAATAAAATAAATATTATTCATATGGATCAAGTTAAGGTTTGTGAATTCTAGCTTTTAATAGGTTAAACATGACCAGTATGAATTATTTACAGTTTCAGTTAATAAAATAAATATATTTAAAAAATAATTAAACATTCTAAATGGATAGTACAATTTTCAGTAGTTTGTGCTGTAAAATATTGTTATACTAATTTTAACAGGAATTTGCTAAGAATATTTTTATGCTTTCATTTCAAAGAGTCATCAGCTAAATGTTTTTACATAGTCTAATTTTTTTTTAGATATTTATCCAACAAATTAGGGAAAAAACGAGAGGGAGAGTAGTATAGCAGTTGCATTTTTTCCAAGTGAAATAAATGTCACTATTGTACAATACTTCTTACCCATGCGATATTTTTCATGGCTTCATCTAATATTTGTAATGTTTGTACTGTAGTATATTTCATGATAGCAAACCCTGTGAATTTTATTTTTAATTAATTAATAATATTTTAAAAAATAAATACAAGTCAGGTTTTCACTTGGTTTTTCACAATTTTTGAAAAATCACCCATACTAATCAAATTTAAAAAACTTTTTCTATAAAAATTGCTATTACATATTATTATAAGGCATTTAATATCATTAAACTTAAAAACTCATTTAAAATAAGAAATTAGTTATAAAATTACGAAACAGCATATTTTTCCTCAGTACAAAACAATAAAAACAAAAGTTGCCTAATAAAATATAATTTATACAATATTGTTACAGGTCTTGACTTTTAGTTTAAAGGAAAGAACAAAAAAAAAAAAAAAAATNAAAAAAAAAAAAAAAAAAAAAAAAAAAAAAATGACAAAACTTCATTGCAATAATCATAAAACAAGGTGATCAAGCCTTTTTTATTAATGAAATACATATTTTGTCATGTTAAAAAATTACTGTAATAGTTTATTCTGTTTTAGACATGTGACAAAAGCAACATTAAAAGTATTGAATACAAATTATTACAAATTTGTTATTAATTACCTTAAAGAATAATTAGTATAAAGAGCCTAATTTTACTGTTTAAGGTCAGATATTGAAAATGCAAATAGCTTTCAAATTTATGACACATATAAAATAAATAGCAACTTTTGGAAAATATATATATAAAATTATAGTTTTCTTTGTTTTCTAACGATACAGAAATTTGCATTTTCTTTTTGTCTTAACGCGTACTGGATTGGGGAGATTTCCATAACCTGATCTGTGGCAGAATAATCACCAAGTCCTGTCACCTTTCATTGCGCGAAACTAAAATAATCATCACATAAAGGGGCCAAGTTGAAAGATATAACTCGTAGCCACCTCTGGGCAAACATTTTAAAAAATTGAAATTTTAAAATCTGTTTGGCACCTTGAGGATTGTAGTTGACACGACAGATCAAGATACGGAAACATCTCTACGGGATTTACCACTATCACATATCTTGAAAGCAAATTTGAATGTTGACATTAATATTTTGGCCACCTAGCAAAAGAAACTTAAATAACTTGTTAGTTGTTAGCTTAGTTAATAATTTTTTCCAATTGACTTTGAGATTTAATTATTCTTTATTCGTCATAATATGGCTTTATGCAATAAGTTAACAGTAAATACTTACAAAAACGAATTACTTTATCTAAGACAGCACTCTCTTTACAAAAGGGATAAAGTTAGAAGTATCCTTTTTAATAGTCATTTACAAATTTAACTTAAAGTGTCTTTTGAAAATATTTTATGCCACATTGCCTTAATAGGAAATGATATAGGGGATATTTTAAGTTTTTAAATATTAGCATGCTTAATTAAATATTAGCATGCTTAATCTTCCAATTAAAATTTTAAAAAAAAGTTTTTGAAACGAGCAATATTTTTCTCGCCTATTCTTGAAACCCGACAAAGGGGAACATCCCCACTTTGACTAAATAAAAAAACATTAACAATTATAATATAACAAACAAAATAAATAACACAACTTATAAATAACTCATACCTTTGAGCGTCAAACTAATAATATTCTGTTACACAAATTAAATCCATAGATCATTCTAATTAACATTTTATCACAATTTAAATATGGGTTTATGTCTTCAACAATTGCTATCGGCACTTCTATGAGTAAAAAGAAAACTATGTTTAAATTTCATATAAGTGGAAGTCTAGAATATGTAAATTCTTATGCAGCTTGAATATTTTATAAACTGAAACTTTAGAGGAGAGAAACTTGAACTTACAATTGCGTAATGCATTTCGAATTCATAATTAGTATTTACTATTGAGTTTTAAATTGAAACCGAAACTAAAGTTGGTTACTGCCAAAATAACAATATCAAATTAATGGTTTTTATTTTAAAAATTACGCACTGTCTTGGCTGACCGCCCTCTTATAACCCTAAACTTTGGCGATCTGGTGAAATGGGTGATTGCCAAACGAAATCTATCGCCAACTGCTTGGATGCCCGCTTTTTGAACGTGATTGAAAATGGCGAAAATGTTTGAGCTGGAAAGATGTAACGAATACGCTAGGAAATACATATTTTTTACTACAATATTTTTATTCATGCAAAGTGATTTCTAGATACTGGACATTAGTATTGCAGCGCTTGCTGAATTAATATAAAATAGCTCTTGGTGTCGACATTTTTACTGGCTAGCATTGCATATTGCAGGTATCATTTTCATCACTTTTCTTAGCATTATTGTCGGATCTGTGTTTTTATTTAAAGCAAGAATTTTTGTTGTTAATTATAAAGATTATTTTTGTGTGTGTGTGTGTATTGAATATTATTTGAAAGGAAATATGAATGACAAATAAGTTATAACTGTAATAAAACAAGGTTGGATGGAAACCACTTTTTTGTTTCTTATGAGTAAAAGGTTAAATTAATAATATTTTGCACCGTGATTTTAAGGT